CAAAAGGCACACAAGTATTTTGTTTAGTTGCTGCATTCATGTCTGGGTATACCCTAATGATTAAGTTCTGTCAGTTCCTTGACAGTTATGAAAAGTGGCCTGCAATGCGAGCCAAATCGTTCCTGTTTCTGATTGGGTCACACCTAAAGACTCAGCAGCTGCAAAGTGATGTTGAAATGTGTACTTGTTGGAGCTGGTATCTGGGGCTGGGTGGGGCAGTGTGAAGGATGAGGGGGCTGACTGAGGCTGAAGTCGTTCTAGCTGCGTAGCTCCGTAAGTGTCAGTGGGTGCAGCTGTTAAAAAGTACTGTGAGGGGGGGGGGGCTGTGGAGATTGCATTAGGCCCTCTGTTGATGGAACCCCGCAATACATTGTTCTTGGCCTAAAACCAACTTTAAGTCTTTCCTACCTCCCACAACCAGTCACCATGAGGTTCTTCGTCCAAATGCATTCTCCTGTTTCCTTCTCATTTTGCGCCAAGAAAAATGTCTTTTCGGGAATACAAATCTGTTTATAAAATTTCCCAAAATCAACATTGATGTTGTTGCCAGTTAGGATTTTCTGCGAGTGACCTGTGAACTCCTCTCCAAGGTAATTACACAGAGCTGTGAAATAGCCATCAATACCCTTTCCCAGCTGGCTCCCCATGACTGTGAAGGGATGTTAAAAAAAGGAAACTTGTATTAATATTGCTCAATTAAAAACATTATTTAACCTTTCCTATAAACATGCAATTGAAACATGCCGTGAAAAATATTTGCTTTGAGCCACCACCAAGTGGATCATAATTACAGACTCTCATCTTCCAAGAAAATTTGGAAACTCTAGAGCAAGAAGTTCCAAGTAACCTGTCTTGAAAATTTATCTCAGAAGTGTATTTAATTGTACTTGTCAGCCAGTTTATTTTGTCTGCTAAGTGTTTTAATGGCAAGTTAATTTGGCTAAATGACACTGAAAGCATTACGTTCAGTGTCCGGATTTATTATAGATTTAACTTGTGTGTAACATGTACAAGATAACAGCCTGTGACATGCAATGGAACAGAACATTAAATACAACCGGTAAAAGCTCAATCTGATGCTTATTGAAACTGTTAGCTGTGTGTTAAGTTGGGCATAAGGGAGACACAAAATGGACAAATAAAAGCTAAAAAAAACATGTTTTGTCAAAGAATATGTGTTAAAGATTTTGATGATCTGCTGACTCTTCATTTGGATATCAGGTTTCAAAGTCAATTTAGTTTTGCCCACTCCCAAAAAATAAAAAATAAAATAAAAGTAAAATACCAAAGAACTAGGATGAGGCGGATTACTTGATATTAAAACTGAAATACCAGAAACCCAGTGTCTTTAAGATCATGCCAAACCTCCACCACCCTTTACCACTTGGTTTCAACCCAATTCAAAACACGCTTAAAACAGTTAACTAAATATAAAATATAAATTCAGAAAATAAAAGCAGATGGATCATAAACATATAGACAAAAAAACATGGATGAATGAAAACAGAATGAAAAAAAAGTGGACTGGAGCTTGAAGTGGGATCTGGAGGAAAGCTGGCCCTATAAGAGGACAGACAGTAAGATGGTCAGTGGAATTTTTCTAAGTGAGTTTTTTCTTCGATGCATATTATGGAGTGGTCTTCTAAATCCCAGATGGAGATCCAAACTTGGATTGGGGGATTTTTTTGGTGTCTTGTCCTGTCTCCATGGTTGTCGTGTCATTGCCTGTTTTAATTTGAAAGGTACATCCCCTTGTTTCAGGCCACTTGCGGTCCCCTGTGTGTCACATGTCTGCTTGCCTTCCCTGATCACCAATTGTGTTCACCTGGAGTTTCCCTCCCTTGTGTTTTAAATAGTCTGAGTCTAGTGTGTTTTTGTCTTTCGACCCAAAATGAGCCTGAACCCTTTCCTCGAACCAAACCTTGTCTTGAACCGTTCCTTGCGTTTCCTTGTCAGAGTGAGTTTATGTTTGTACAGTTATAGCCTTTGGCTTCCTCGTTTTTTGAGTGTCTTCATTTGAATTTTATAGCCTTTGTCATCCTCGCTCCAGGTTGATTATTTTTTGATACTTTGTTCATAGCTTTGTCCGCCTCGTTGTCAAGAGTGATTATTATTTTATACTTTGCCTTGCCTTTCCACTTTGCATCGGAGTCCTGCCTGGAGTTACCATTTCTGACAGCCAGGAATCAAAGCCGTGGTATCGGAGGGCACTGGTTCCTCAGGGGGGAATGTGGACAAAACGGGTAAGTAAATGCACTTTGAAATCATACAATGGTGGAGATGGTCAGAAAAAGGTCGGACAGTCCGGCAAAGGCTGAAGCTCCCACTGCTCCTTTTGCTGAGTCGACAATCTTGGCTAACAGGTAATGGAGGCAGCCAGACTCCGCCCACATGAGTCTGTTCAGCCCAAAAAGACTCCGAATACACCCTCATACATATCACAACCAAGCAGGGTCATGACAGTTGGGATAGAGTTACAGCACTTTTCTTTTTTTAATCATTACATTTATGATTCTTCAGAGAGTTTGGGCCATTGCTCAGTACAATCTTCTGAATAGTCGGCTCACTTTATTGTTATCGTAATCAATAATCATCTTATGAATACAATGTAAAATATTAACTTGTTGGAATAACTAGACAGTGATACAATAATGACGGACCATAATAACCATAATTTGTGTTATTTATGTTAAAAACGATCTTATCTCAGATTTCATTGGAGTCAAAGCTTTGGAAAAAGAATGAAAGAGAACTTGACACTCAGTTAATTTCTAATCAATCATTATATCTGAATGAAAAGGAAAAACAAAGTCAACGTTCAGCTGGAGAACACGTGCTCATTTCCCCCTGCATTAAAAATAAATTTACTGGTCCTGCAGCTGTTTGACTGGACTGAGTAGAATGAACATGAAAATAAAACAAGACGCTGTAAAAAGCATACTTTTCCTTCATATCCATAAATCCAAGAATCCAATCATCTCCAGATAAGGTCCAGATGCGGCATGTTACTGACTGTTATGAATTTCCTGTCACTATGGTGAACAGGCCTTCATTCAATATTCACGTTCTTCAGTGTATTTTGGCTCATTTACTTTTTTTTTTTTTTGGGACTATGCAAATCAACTTATTAGACTATTTCCTTAAGACAAAGGTCTCTGTTGTATTAAAAAATGAATGCAGCATGGGAAGAGTTTAAAATAAAGTGATTATTATTAATTAAATGTGCTATAAATCCTGGAGATTGTTGAGATTTGTTTCAGTACTGCTGCCTATTGGTTTGATGTGAGGTCCTGACACAAACAATTCGGCTCGGGCAATTCTCAAGGCCTCCATTGTATCACAAACAACGGCCTTCTTTGGAAGTCACTTGCAGGAAAGTCCCCCTTTGCAGAGAAGATAGCAGCACATTGCTAAGTGTGAGTGTGTGTGTGTGTGTGGTGTTGCTGGTTCACTGTCCCTGTTCTGCTTACGCGGGACATTCTCCGAGCTGACTGTCGCAAGAAGGAACCCTTGAGTTTTTAATTAAAATCCCATTGAATTTGATCGACTCGCTGCTCTGCGCAACACTCAAACTGTCACAAGCGCCGTATCCGCTTACACATTCTTCCCTGTGGATTCAAATGTGTCCGCAATGTGTTGTCAGGATCAAGAAGCCCCAAACAAGACGCCAAGTCTGTCAGACTTCCAAAATTTAGTGAAAGCATTTGACTGTTTCGATTGTAAGATAAACTTATTTTGGGAACTACTGAGGATAATGTGTGTGCCCATTTTTCTGAAGAATAGATTCATGTTTATTCCTGTTAATTTCTTTCTAAAACAGACAAGAGGTTGAAAATATTATTCATGAGCTTATTCATTTCAAATCCGTTTAAATTCACAGAAACAACTGGCTTTTTTTTTTTTTACATTGGCCATCATTTTGGCAAACTGTGGTATTTAACTGAAGTCACTGGTGGTGAACTAATTTAGGTCACAAGTCTTCTTTGATTTTGTCAAGACAATAAGATTATTAACTTGAATCTTAGTTTATTGCACTCTCATTCCCCATACCAATCTGCTTTTCTCTTTGTGATGGGACCAATACAGGTCCTTAGGAATAATGACAGTGCTGGGTGGATCTTAAAATAGAAAATCCTCATGGCTAAAGGGTCACACCTGAGTAGAGGCCTGTGGAGGATTTCTGAAGGAATCATACTTTCTGAAACGACAAAGTTCAGGAACAGGATTAGAATACTTCCGGAGTGTTGTTTCGGACACATAACATGGAAACAAAGGCTTTAGAAACCCAGTGCTGTGAGAACATGGCGGTACGACCAGTGTTGTGCTGTATTCGGTGATAATAAACAGGAGACCCTGCTGATGTGAAAAGGGTTAAGCCTTTGTGTTGACCCTGGGGTTCTGGGACTAAAGCGGCGGGTCATGTGAATTGTCAGTTCTCATCACCACATCTGATGTGAACATGATTTATTCCCCTACAAAAACATGCCATTATTTTATGACAAACCTAATCATCGCTTATATCACCAGAGCTGTGCTCATCAAGCCTGTGGACGCGGCTTCTAATTATTTATGAGGTGGACTTTGCATGGTTGTAAAAAAGAAAACAATGACCGAACAGATCGTCTTTAAATAGACTTTAGGGGGTTGTTTTTGTCAGGAGACCACATACATAGAAGCACCGCACCCATCAGTCAGCTCTGGGTTTATTTCCGTGTCTCCCACCAGAACTGCATGACTTGGAACCGAAGATGGAGATTTACAAATTCTGCGCCAAGATCCGGGGCGGCCGTGCCCTTATTATTATGACCAGGGACTGTTCCTTGTTTATTTTGGGACTAAGTTTTAAGCAGAGCAGGGTGACCTCTACCCCAAAACTAAATACGACTCATGAGAGCTCTCTTCTCAAGGAATCAGAAGATCTGAATCATCCTCTCCTCAACACAAGAGGGGCGAGGCCAGCTGTGCTGTCCTGTGGCCTATACGGGGTCCTAGTGGACTAATCGACAAAGCGTACAACACATTTTCATAATGGAAATTTTATTTCATAACACACACACAACTCGTTTCAAGCACTATTTTACATTTTTATATTTCCCGTAACGTAAAGACTTAGACAATTCACTTTACTGCAATTGGAATGACTGCAATGAACGACCCTGTGAGAAACCCCCTCCATCCATAAAATAGGCAAAGTAAAGTAGTTGGAACTTTTTAACGTTGTCAAAAGGCAAAGCAGATACCTCACACTGTAAAGCTTTATGTTCTCACATCGGTCATTATTGAAACAATACGGCACTGGAAGTGGGCTTGTAGTGTGCACGATGGAATAAAGTTATTTCTAACGAGGTGAAAAACACTCAAATCATTGATCATAATGGTTACATAAAATGTAAAAAGCTGCACATCTTTATACAAAAGTTTTTTCAAATGTTGTACAACGTTGTCCGATTTCATTTATGAAGATGTAAAAAAAAATCTGAAGCTGAGAAACTTGTTTAAAAAAAAAAAAAAAAAAACATATTTCATGCAGTCCTTAAAAAAAAACTTCAATGGTGCAGACAGCTAGCACTGTGAGGCCGGAATAAAAATGAAGCCGTTTTCTGATCAAAGTGCTTGGTGACAGGATGGAGTCGATGGGCAAATGGCAGCGAAGCGAAAAGTTACCATTTGGAAAACATTAGTCAGTGACATTAGCCAGTCTATGTAAAATCGACTGTGTTTTTTTGCTGTTAAAAGATCCAAAGAAAAAGATATACTGTACATCTGATCAAATTTCGGACGCACAGGGTTGTATGGGGGTAGTTACTTTTGTAAATAAGCTGCGATTTATGTTTTTTTAGATTTTCTGTAGGTTGATAGGAAAATGGCAGTTGTATTTATTATCAGAAACTGCATTTATAATGCATGGAAATTTTCAATAGAATAAAAAGTTAATCCATTTTCAAGCTTCCGTTTTATAATATGTCTCACGTAAGAAGGATATTCATGGATATTTAAAAAAAAAAACTATTCTTTGGAAGTGCTAATTTGACCGGTGTAAGCATGTGAATCAAACTAACACAATTAAAATTAGGAGTCTCAAATGAGTTCCTTCAGGATTTGTTTTGTGCTTATATTAATTTATTAAGAAAAAAAAAGTCCCTATGCTTCTTGGTCAAAAGGCATAAATTGAAACTAATGACCATCAAGACATTTGACCCTAACTCAACCAGTGAGAATATTCCCTATCAATTCTATCGATGAACATTACTGTCGACTTTCCAGTTCCAGTACAAATTTGAGGCATAGATGTCTGGGGACATTGAGAAGTCAGTAACATGAAGGCATGCTGAAAGGCTGGTGTAGGTACATCCTTTGTCCTGCAGAGTCCCGTATGGCTGCTTTAAGGCTGGCAAAAATACTGAGAATGTTCTATCTGAGTGCCGCGAATGGCGTGTTTACCACGAGCTTATCTGGAGTACGAACCATCTGTCCTCACTCGTCGAGGAAGTTGACCTGATATGTGAGCTGATTGCCATTGTCCCAGGCATACAGAAGCTTCTCCTTGGGGTTGTAGTCGATCTGGGTTGTGTACGAGTACTCGTTGACGAAGGGCAAGCGCGGGATGGCTTCGGTGTAGGTGTGCGTGTCGTAGGCATAGTTCACCTCCCCTTCTTTCTGGTTATACACATCGACGGCATACAGGACGCCACAGATGATGAAGCAGTTTCCGTAAGAGTTGCGCTTGAGACCCGTCCGGTAGGTGGTTTCCTTTTTTAAGGACAGGTCTCCGGGATCCAGCTTGCTGATGACTATCATCTCCTGCTGGCTGTAGTCGTAGTCCACGGAGGGGTAGATCACCCACAGGCCGCTTTCGTCCACGGCGAAATCGATGTCCGAGTGGCCCCTCCACTTCCACGGGGTGGTGTCCTCGTAGACCACGTCGTGCAGCAGCGTCCAGGCTGCCACATATCGCATCCTCAGGTCGTACTTGATGATGTTTTTTGTGAAGGCCCGGTTGTAGTAAAACGCTCCGTTGTAAACCACGTGGCCCGTCCCGATCCAGTTGTAAGGCAGTTTGAAGAGGTTACTCCAACGTCCTAGGGAAAAACAAAATTGTTATGTTGGCTTTTGCCTCCTTGCAAACCGGAGTTAAGTACTCAGTCCCCTCTTTGCCAGTGAAAACAATAGCAAACACAATGACGTTATCGCCACTGACTGAGGTCCAAGAAAAGGCAGACTGTGTTTTAGCATTTCTGAGAGTTTTTCCTGTCTCTCCTTCCGCCTAACTGCAGGAATTGTTTTAAGAAATGACAACAAGTCAACGCTCCTTTGTTCAAAACAATAGGAGTCGTATGTCCAGAATTTGAAATGAGAATGTGTATGGTTGATATACCACTGTGTCTATATATATCAATATCATTCACATTCATCGTTTTGGTTGAATTTTACATTCAAATTATTTATTGTGCTAAAAAGGGAGATTTGGTTTTGCAGAGTCTTGGAAGTACCTATATTATTTTTTTCATATTATTTGGAAAATCAGGGTTCTAACAATAAACCTACTGGCTAAACTCAAAGTAAATATAATTGTTGTATTCCATAGTTCAGGAAGGCAAATCAAGCTTTGTAACTGTGACAAAAAGCAAACATACAAATGTGTATATATATATATATATATATATATATATATATATATATATAGTAACCGTAGCACTCAGATTGCTAAGTTAAGAATCAGGATTCCACATTGCTTGATGATGATTTAAAGGAGGAAATATAAATCCAAATGTCCAGTCAGTGCAGACTGACTTGTTGCTTTTCAGTCTTTTTTCTCAACATCTTTCCAAGACAAAGAATTGAAAACACATGGGTACCTCTGTGACTGTACCTAATACTCTTTGACCGTGTGGAAACAAAAGCAAACAGTTGGATGTTCTGGAATCAAAACTTCTGTTATTTACATTAACTTAAAGCAAGCTCAAAATCAAATTGTCCCTCATTTAAGCCTAAATAAGATGGACAAGAGACTGTGGGGTTGTGACGTGTCAATTATGATATGCCAGAACAAGCACCCTGGTTTCTAGACAAGGGGCTTCAATTTGGGAGTTAAGATGTTCCCTGAAATTTAGTCAAAACTGCCAACTTGAATTCCTAAAGAAGTCTTTTGACCTATAGTATAACATCTGAGCTAAAAGATTTTGTCATTATAGGATAGCATGGCTTTCTTATAAGTAATTCCAGTGTCAACTTTCTAACATACAGCATTTTAAAAACATAAGCAAAGTCTGAAACAGCAAGCGATGAAGCCTTTTTAATACACTTACAGTTGTTAATATATTTGTATACAGCCAGTTGTGTAATAAGCTGGTCATTATGCGGTCAGTTGCTCATAATCGCATTCAAAAGGATACCGTTTCTGGATACTGCAGACTAACACATAGATTAAGCCGTATTTACTACGAATTGGAAAAATGGAGCTGCTCTTGTAAAGGCTTGTGTTTTTACAACACCAGACTGTATGCACATTGGCTTAACATGAGAGTGATACAGTTTGTTTAGGGGTTCACCCCTGAAAAAACACACTTTGTACTATAGGTGTCATTTTCTAATCACATCCTATCTGCTATCCTAATCCTCCCAACCTCAGGAAGTCTGATGTAGATAACAATGATAACTGAAGTCCAGCGAGTAGCAAAAATATTGTGCAGCAGAACCCGCTTACCCCCACGCCAAATCACACACTAGCTTCATGCCTAAGGCCAGCCCATACTCTTAATCCCCCTCTGCTGTGCTCAGTTCAAAGGAAAGGCCAAAGCACATGTCAAGGAACAGCGGGAGTCACCGCCACTCACCAAGATACCAAGTCATCCGCACACAGCTGTGTGCTCACCTCACCGCGGGACGCCTTGCATGTAAATGCATTTAGAAAGCCCATTGTCCAAACATATCAAGATCAACATGCTCAATCCCACAAGCACAGATCATCTTAACTCTCCTAGAAAAGTGTAATCCAATTCCTCAGCTGATTTGGACACGGAAGGAATGGACTTTTTCCAACCAAAGAAAGCTATGAAACGACCAAGACAAAAGCCCCCTCGCAGATCGGATCAATGTTGGATGTTCGGCCTGAATTAATATTGAGCGATGTTTTGATTGAAAACATATAAAGAGAGAACATTGTGTTTGGGAGAGAAGCGGCCGTTAAAGTTAGCCTAACTGTACAAAAACAAAAATAAAACGTAAAATGGTGTCTGCATAAGCTAAACAGACGGCATAGTGTCAAATCAAGTCAATTCAGCTGAAGTTCGCAGTGGCTGCTAGTGGAAAGAAAAAGTACAAACCTTTTTCTTTCCATTGTTTATTTCACAGGAAGCTGTGGAGAATCTGTTAGTGAACGAGGCCCACAACTCCCAAATATTAGTACAACTGATTTTTTTTTTTTATAGCTTTGGGACATAACATCAAACTTAAATACAGAAATCCTCTAGAACAGCTTGTGCTTTGTACAATAATGGATACATTAATGTTAAAGACACAAGTTGTTTTTTACAGTATGGTTATTATGTTATCGTAAAACCTCAGTTGACACGCACCTTGCTTGAAGTTGTCCAGGTTGCGGAACTCGACGAGGTTGTTGCCGTAGTAATAGTTGGTGACGTAGATCTTGGAGTCCTTGGCCAGGGGGTCCTTCATCCAGGCGCCCTCGTTGCGCCCGTAGCTGTGCTGCTTCTCCGGCTGCTCGATGGAGGCCAGGGTCCCCTCGCAGTTGAGGATCTTTCCTGGAAAAAAGTAACGAGCGGAAACGCTGAACATGCGGGGGCCTGGGAAAAATAGCTTAACTTTATCGTGGGGCTTGAATCGATTTCACGGCCAGGGTCCCCAGAGGCTGAGATCTTAAACCTGTGAGGGAGGACGCACCTGCCCGGTGGAGGCTGGGCCGACTGTTGTTGTTGGAGTTGTCCAGGGTCAGCACGATGGTGGGGGCGGGCCTTTCGGGCGGCGCGGGCGTGCCCCGGGCGCGGGAGGCCGTGGGGTTGGCCCCCAGGGGGGTCGTGGTGCTGCTGGCTGTGGTGGTGGTTGTGCTGGTGGTGGTGGTGGTGCTGGTGGTCGTAGGGGGGTCAGCCGGGTCAGCTTCGGTGGTCTGGACGGGCGCGGGGACGGTCGCCTCCACGGCCTCCAGAATAACCTCGGCCCCCCCGTCCTCGGACTGCTCCTCTGTGACGTGATGGACCGTGTACGTTTTGGCCGAATGGTCTGAGAGGATGGAGAATGAAACGAGGAAAGAAAATTGACTAAACAAAGGTAGTATTCAGTCAAAATATAGCGGACCGAACAAGGACAGACAGTCCTGAGGCTGAGACCCGGCAGAACAGAGTAGCACTGTCGGCTTTTTATAGCTGAAAACCAGCTGCTTCGTGATCTTGTTAGTGATGGTTACTTTAGGGCAGAGTGATGGGTGAATAAGGATATTTCTGTCCCTTACTCAGTGAATTAGAACAGTTGAGGAACGCAGTTTTGTTCCAGGAGTTCAAGTCAAAGGTGATGCATCGGCAATGCAAATCTTCAATTGGCAAGAGATTTGTGTCAGATTGTCCATTTAGCAATTTAGCTGCAAATACAGCTTTAAGTGGAGATATCGAGATCCATGTGTGGTATTTTGTAAGAATGACCAAGATCACAGTAGGGTAATACAGCAAGAATCAGAATCAGAAATACATTAATAATCCCAGAGGGAAATTATTTTATATATAATATATTATAATTATTCTTTTTTTTGTTATTATATATAAATCATATAATTTATGTATATATATTATATTATTATTATTTTTCTATGGTAATTAGGAAAGATTGTTGTATCCTGTCTTTTTCCACTAAGTAAAAAAAGGAAAAGATTGTATCATAAGATGTCTCGTCACTTGAAAAGAAGAAGGAATTCGCTGCTCTGAAATGCTCACGTTCTAACAAATGTAACGTTTTCACTCATTTTAATCTTCCATTTAAACATCCAAATGAACTACATTCCAATAAAGTGTGCCAATTTTTACAGAGTGTGCACAGTCAGCAATGTGCAAACTATCTTGTGCAAATCCAAGAACGTGCAAAGTGCCATTGTTCGAGCATATGAGTTCACGGCATAAACGTTTTGTTTCTGTGGTTTTGCTCTGACTGTTCTGGGTATCGTAATCTTCTGTTCTGCCACACAGATGTGAGGGGACAGGAATGCTACACAAGCAGAGCTTCTTCCTGACAAACACACTGCAAGCACATGGACATGATGACAGTAAAAGGAAATGATTTTTCGAGATTTCTTTTTTTTTTTCAAGTTGTGTAAATGAGTTCAAAATGCTACTGGATTTAGATGTAACAAAGCAACAACTTGACACTTTAAACTGAATTCTACACACAAGTACAGAAAACTGCTTTCCCTGTCCTTAAAATTTACAGCTTGGGTGATTTTAGACGTGGTGATTTGTACTGTTGGCTCAGAGCAACAGGGATTCTGTTATTACCGCTATAAAAGCTGTATTTTTACATTTTTGTTTTTTATTGTTATTTTAGCCAACATATCCAATTATTCGTGACATTTTTTACTTGCACAAGGATGCATTGAGTTTGGATCTATTGCTCTAAGGGCTGTTTTTCTAGTTTGATGATTACGTTTCATATCAGAAATAGGATATGTGGCAGTTATTTTATTGGTATCACCTCAAAGCTTTTCTGTATTATTTCTTCTGTTGTTTTTCCCCTTTAAAACTGAGCTGAAGTGAATTAAAGATGGAACAAGAACATACTAAAAAGGAACATGACCAACAAAAAAATGTGTTTTAAAGCCATCCCTTGAGCTGGAATTGAGTCCCCTCTGAAAACCATCTAGCATATTCAGATTAAAAGTACCATATGTAAAAAGCAGCTGCTTCTGTCATAAATGTGGCTTAGTTATTTTGAATATTCAGCACCAATGACCGGTTGTTGATCTATGTCCACCTGTGGCACAAATGGTCTACTCTGAAGGAAGCCCAGCTTTGGGTTAACCTGAAGATTTGTCTCTTCAAATCCTTTTGGAGGATGTATTTTTACATCACAGATTAAGAATATCACATTTTAACTGCTAAGGCTCTAACACTGTAAGACTTCTTCACGTTTCTGCTAGAAAACCAAAAATGTCCACTGTATTTTCATGTTAGCCGCAAACACAATTATCCTTTTTTTCCCCGTTTGCATTTTGAAAAAATATATATATTTTATGTGTTTTCATACGTACAATGAAATGATGAGAGCTTTCAAGTTTATTCTTGTTGTAAGATGATGACTCTTCTTTTTTATTTTTTTTTTTTTTTTGCTCCTGCATGAGTAATGTTGCAAGTGTTAAAATGGATGTGTAACACTTTCCACAATGAAATGCCATCTCATGGAGGCGAGCTAAATTTAATGAGTGGCTAAAAAAAAAAAAAAAGCCCTTCAGACCTTTTGACCCTGGTGGATAAGTAAGGATTTCCACCGCACGCTTTTTGCTACAGATAATGGAAATGCCAAAGTAGCAATTTCAGTGATTTGACAACTGTGGCTGGCAGATTCCCGCCTAAAGCAGAAGACCCATTCTGAAAGCCCTAAGTGTGTGTGCTCTGCTTAAAGCTTCTTTTTGCTCGTCTAGATTTGACGCGAAGTGAAAGGACTCAGGAAATTTGTCTCCCCGCGAGGGAAAAATGGCCCCCGTGCTTCATTGTGAGTGACGCAGAGCCATGTCATGCACATGGCAGCAGGGTATTGACGCAGCATTCCACCGGATCCTCGTATTTTGTCGACGGGAAATCAAGATTTTCTGCCCTCTGGGATCAGAGCTGATCGGACCACCTCGGCTGAAATGGCCAGAACTGATCTTTCATTGTTTGATGCGTCTCTGGTATAGTGCAACAAAACAGCCTTGTCCTTCATAAGAGTGCATAAAATCCGCTAGAGATTGTCTCCGTTCCTCTAACGAAGTAAATCAAGAAAATAAACCCCCCTATGTTCGATAAATCTGGCTCGTTCTGATCCAGAGAAGTGTCATGTGGGCTCCGAAGAGACTGCTGAAGAAACAAATCTGCAACATTTTACACACAGCCACGGCAGATCAAACGCAAACGATCGCCCACAGATGGGTGTGGGAATTCGGCTAATGCGCGAGCACTTTGTTTATTTTGGCTGAATGGGTGTAGCTTTCAGTGAACACACTACGAGACCGGGACATTGTCCCGAAGCCCTCACCTCCCCTGTGCTCGTCTTCATCGGCCTTTGAGGCTTTGTAGTATGTGATGCCCCTCACCACGCCGGGCTGGTTCCCGGCCACTTTGGCTTTGGCCGTGGGGTCAGGCTTGACCGGTTTGGCCGGTTTAAAGGTCTCTTTCTTCGGCTTGACCGGCTTTTCTTTGGGGAGCTTGGGAGGGGGTTTGGCGGCGGGGGTCTTTTTGTTTGGGACTTTGACGCCAGTCTTGTTTTTCTCGTCACGGGTGTCCTGCAAAGACATGGCCTCATTTTAATACACAGTAGGTTGAGTGTTTTAGACAGAGCTGTATCCCCTAGATGTGATCCCAATTATATAAAAGCGACACTAAATCATCACAACTAAATGTTTTCTAAATCTCTTTGTTATAATGTCACATTGAAAGGCTGATCACATGTAGGTTGGCCTTTCCAGATTTTTCTACGGTACATTTTAAAGGTCTGATTGGTGGCAAAACAAAATTGATTCAACTTCCACAATGTATGGATGGTAATATAAGACTCTGAACCAGATGAAAATTCCTCTATTAAAAAAAAATAAATCTGTAGATTGTATAACATCACAAAAGTCCGTTTTTTTTAATACAATAAAGAATCAAACTGATTTAAAAACTAAATTTTTACATTTATCCATCCATTATCGCTAATGCTTATTTCCTAATAGGGTTGCATGGGGAACAATTTTAGCTTGAAAATGGTGGAAAATTCAGCCACTGTTGGTTGTCTCTCGGGTCACATGACATGTGATCTAATTCGTCAACAAATTAGCAATTTCTTCGAACTGCCCGTGTTATTTTCCGTAAAAGCTTGGAAAAAGAAAGCTGGGACTCGGACCTGTGCTCTGCTCTCCGCGGAGTCCTTCTGCAGCAGCTGCAGGCTGAGGCCGGAGATCTCCTTCTTGATGCTCATCATGATGTTGGAGTAGTTCTCGTACCTTTTGAACTGGTTGGTGAGACTCATCATGCTGTCCCGGACAAACTCGTTGTCTCTGGTGAGGTTAGTTTTGATTGTCTGCAAGACAGCATTAAAGACAACTTTAATCAGAGTCACTTCGGTCACTTGGTGGACAAATTCAAGCTTGAATATTTACTAAAGCCATGTCTCATCTGAAATAATCCGTCGGTGGGTTTTTTCATACCTCTTCCAGTGTGTTCATCTGAGAGACCACCTTGTTGATGTAGGAGTGGACTTTCAGTAGATCCATGCTAAAGAGGGTGCCCTCCAGGAGATCCACCATAGACTGAAGCTGGTCATGAAAGGAGAGCAGCAGAATCATTTATCATCTCGTAAACGCAGACCTGACGGCTTTTTTTGAGCTGGGATGATATACGTCGCACCGATTGCCTCTATTGACATTTATATCCGGCTAAATTGCCCGTTTGGAGCTTTCAGTTTAGCCCGAATCAGTTTTAAATATGGCTAATCTTTCATTTTCAGTAGGATTTTCTCATTCAAAAAAGGCTTTTACATAGATTGAAGGGAAGTAAAAAAATATAAATCTTATGTCTTATTGTGTGCCTCGTGTGAAAAACTAAAGTGTGCTGTAAGTATGAAAATTTAGTTTGTTTATCTTAATTTTAATTTCTTTCTTAAAGGACAGTGTTGTCAATTGGAAGTAATGTTGTTTGGAATAATGATTTATTTGTGTTTTTTCAGCTACAGTACACAGCAGTTAGGATTTTTATGTTTATAGAAACAGAAAGTTTCTTGAGGTATGAGATCAAGCTAAAAAAAATAAGATCAGAGATGAAAGGGACAGTAAATCAAATAGTTTAGAAGCTAAAGAGGAAGTTGTTTTGTCGATGGATGCAAACGATCTGGATGTAATTATGAACTGCTGAATGAGGATTCATAAGTGGAATGATTTATCAGTGACATGTGGCAAAATCCACAGGATCCAAACTGCTTAAAAACCCAGAGGTTTCAGTTGTGTGTGGGGTTCATTTATTTTATGCTGTATACGTGAAAAGGGTGGTCGCATAAATAAATTTAGCTATTTCTCTGTAAACATGAGGTTGAAATAACGAGACAAAAATACTTGTGGTATCTATTGCGTTTGGTGCAAAAATAAATGTGTTCTTTTAAGGGTCAAAACTGAGTTTTATGCTTAGGGTTTCAATTAAGTTGTGGTTAGGATCAGGTTTAATGTCTGATTGGCGAGCTACAAACCGCATGAATCAACACATAGAAAAAAAGAATTATCTAACACAATTATGTGCCAAAATATTGCTAAAGTTAGTATGATTCAAAGGCAAAATAGTGTTTCAGTTTCTCTACGTGTTTAATGAATTAAACTGCAAAAGTGACATGGCCCTTTATGTAAGTGAAGACATTTCTGTGCTTAATTGCTAGTGAGACTTTTAAGACTATCTAGTCTGAACTTCTAGAATAAAGGAGCAATGTGTTATGTCAGGAAAATCCATATTTTGACAAAGATTCTTGCAGCAAAATGACTAAATTTACAAAAATTGTGATCCCAAAACTGCCCCTCTGAAGAGTTGGAGCCAGGATGGTATCAAAATGACATTAACTTATATGTGAAATGTGTAAAAAACAAACAAACCAACAAACACAGACTAAACAAACACAGTAAATCTAGGCCTATGCAGTTACAGTGACCTTAAATACAGTTGCTTTAGGCTCCGTCTGCTCACCTTTAGTAATTCGGGGGCCTGTTTCTTCAGCTTCTCCATCTTCCACTCGTTCTCGCAGGGGTTGAGGGAGGACGGCGGGGCCGTGCACGAGCACTTGCAGTCCGACCCCGAGCTGACCGTCTCCACCGTGTAGAAGTCCTCCACCCGCACGCTGCCGCTGCGCAGCCGCAGGCAGGCGTCCTTGCTCAGGGGCCGCATGATGCACTTGCACCGGCAGTCGGAGCCCTCCGACGTCATCCGGACAGGCTCCGTCTCCCCGAAGATCTGAAAGACGGAGATAGATAGATAGATAGATAAGATAGATAAGATAAGAGCTTTATTGATCTCACAGTGGAGAAATTCCCTGGTCACATATCGGTTAGGGTTCAAAAGGAGGAAAAAGGTGCATAAAGTACAGCAAAAGCAAGCAAATATACAAAGAAAGGAACACAGCGTAGAGATTTGGGTGATTCAAATATATACAATCATCGATGGCTCACACGCAGTACACATATTACACAGGTCAATAAATGTAACACAATTGCACAGCAGTTGTTAAAGTGCAGAGTTGTGCAGTCTGGTAGCAGCAGGGATGAAAGACCTGCGGTATCGCTCTTTTTTTGCACACAGGGTGTCTGAGTCTTTTACTAAAAGAGCTGCTCAGCTCCTCTACAGTCCGATGCAAGGGGTGAGAGGTGTTGTCCACGATGGATCTCAGTTTGGACCTTTTAGTACCTTTTAGATGTACCAGAGAAATCCATCTTGCATAGCAGTGCCATTCGTAATGGATCTCGATCCAAATAAACCCCTCAAAGTTGGCCACATGTTGATGCTTTAATCCTTAATCAGCTGTCTGAATCATAGGAAGGAAAGTGATTTTCAAAAGAAAACAACACATGCTTCCCCACTTTTGAAAGTTGGCTGTTGTGACAAAGAGGAAAGCCTCTAAAAGAAGCATAGCTCACTCAACTGTGAGTCGTTGGCACCCATGGGTGACGACAGGAGCTTTGGCAGAGGGCGACTCGCTTCATAAACGGGAGACAATGCGTGGAAGCACAAGTGGGCGCTCGGCACGTTTCCTTTGTAGGAGGCTAACGTAAGGCGGGGATGTGCTCTCACACAAGAATTCGGCCAGACAGATTTATGGCCCATTTCATAAAGCGTTCAGGCTGTGATGTGGAGCTGCCAGACGGAGGTCTGCTAAGAGTTCCCTACGTTTCTCATACCTGCATAAATCCACGATGCCTTACTTCACAGCCTTGCTAGCTCAATAGCTGCTATGAGCAAATGGCCGCTTAAAATAAAGGTGATTTTAGGAGGTTTAGTGATCTAAAGAGTAAAATATTAGAACAGAGGCCACAGAAGTTTGATCTCCAAAGAGAATCAGAAGAGTCAGGACAGCTAAGAGTGGTCTAATTTCCATAAGTAAAACACTTCAATGAAAAAACTATTAGATTTTAGCACAGTTTCTTTAAATTGGATGATTTATTGTACCTTTCATCTCTCATCTCATGCTTTTTGACTTATGAGATTTGTGGACAATGCCAAGAAAGAAAAAGAGACAAATACATAAAGGAAAAATGATGAAAATGTAGTTTAATTTAGCATAAATGTTCTGCTCACTCCATGGGCCATTTCTCTCAATTACTATTATTACTCTTTGAATATATTCAAAGTAACATAATTAAATTCAAGATGTGACATTTTCTGTTACATGCCAGGGCACAGCTTTATGGTTTTCCATTACGGAAACATGTTTTCCATGTAAGAATGATACTGATACTTACTTCAGTCGACTTATCAAACACACATCCTTGATCAGTGGAGTTGCAACAGAAAATTACTAAATAAATCACAGATATCCTATCTGTCCACATAAATCCCATTAAGTGTTTTATAACTAATCAATATATCAATAGAAGCCTGTCACAAGCTAATTTAGTGCATTAATCATTACACTCCTCACTTGTAAGTCAGTTTTAAAGTAAGAAACATAAAGATGATGTCACAATATAATAAATAGTCATGTAATAAACATAAAGTGGTTCAACTTTTTTAAGAAAGACTGCATTCCTTATGTTTGATGCATGCATGTTAAATTGATTGGAGACTCCAAATTGCCCCTAGGAAGCTGAGATGGGCTTCGGACTATCTTGTAAATAATTTACAAAAAAATTCTGTAAATCATTTTGTAAGTCTGTAACTGTAAACCTTAAATCGATATAATATAATAAACTGTAATGTAATATTATATTATATTATAATGTATTATACATACTTGTTTTCAGCACTTTATTAAGAATAATGGCTGTTGGGACTTGAGTTGACAGAGATTTGGCCTGTTTCTCCCCTGTTAGATTTAGAGACCTGTAAAATCTAAAAAACAGTCCTGCCTATGTGTCACTGAAGACTTCAGGTCAGGGCTGCAAGACGTTGTTGCTTCTGAGCAAGACAGCTCATGGGTCAAATCCTGGCAAATGTTTTTTTTTTTTTTATTGTTTGCATGGACTCTAGCTTCTTTTTGCAGTCTGACACATGAATTTTAGATTTATTTGTGATGCTTTTCTTTTTTCAGTTAGCCTAAGGAGTGCGTGTGTATAGTTCTTTGCTTTTATTTGTGATAAACTAGTGACCAGTCAGTGGTGGGGTGTATCTCACCTGTTGCCCAATGGCAGAGGGGGTGGACTCCGGTGCCCCCCATGAACCTAAATCAGATTTAAGCAAGTATAGAACATGGATGGCTTGACGAATGAGGCGATCATCCTCCTATTAGAAATATAAATCCTTTGGTCCAATTATCATCCTGAGTGGACCATTAGTGAATCCTTGTGTCAGGAATATAAATAAACAAATAAAATAAAAATCGTATTAGTTACTGTCATCACAATTTGGTAAGTAAGCAGAGGATAATCTCCAGATTGTCAACAAATGTGGATGAAAATCTCTAAAAGGTTTCCAAAAGTTTACAAAACTTTAATTAGTTGCATATCTGCTTTGAACAAGAATAGAAATATTAAATAATTATACAATAATATCAATCTGTGAAAAGTGGAAGGCCGAAAATCTCCAAAGCACCCAAGGCCACAACAACTTAAACTGTATTTAAATCTATAATCACATTTACAGTCGATTCATGTGAGAAACCTCTGAGCACCACAATACAGTGTTACTTTCCTACTACTTTTACTACTACAGTGTCTAAAAAAAGAGGCCACCGTGACCAATTTCCGAAAGCCAGAGTGAAGGCGTCAGAAAAGTAAACTTCCATGGGATTTTAACACATGTGGCCGTCAAGGCAATCTGTTCCAGAGACCTCCGTGGATTTTTCATCAAGAAAATATTTGATCACATTCTGCACAAATAACAAAAGCCTGTCTGTGGAAGACGAGAGAGCAGATGCTGAACTGGGCTGCAACTCCAAAGGGTCAACTGTACAGGACATGCATACAGTAAGAAAATAAAAAGAAAAAAATACGAATATATCAATGCTGAAAAAATACTTTTTTTTCAAGTTTTCAGGAAAAATTGGAGAAAATAACAGTTTTCTATCGTCAGTCCTTTGAGGGTTTGCATTGTGAAAAAGAATAACCTACAGAGATTTAACCTCCAAACCTTTTTTAATAAATGTGTTGCAGGCTTGAAATGACGCATAATTGACAGATAATAAAAGTTAAGTGTGAGACAACCCCTTTTTTTTCTAACTTGTAGTTGTAGATTACATAGCTCTAGTTTAAAAAATGGAGTGTAATAGGCATCTGACGTGGGAACGAGGCGGTTTGTGTCGTAATATTTGATTGGTTCCCATAGTTACGATTTTTACACAGTTTTGGATGTCTTTGGGCAGTCCAGCTGCAGGCTTAGGGAAGGTGGGGGGGGGGGGGGCGGTGGTGGTGGTGGTGGGGGCTCATTAGCGAAGGAATGCGGGTCGAGTGATGGGGACGGTGGAGGGTGGGGTGGGGTGTGAGCCTTCTCTTCCATTACAGCAGACGTGCTCGGGGGGGGGGGGTCTGATACGGGGCAGGACTCCTGTGCGAGGAGCCAAGCAAATCCTGACCCATGTCAAGTGAAAAGGCAGCTGGATGACAAACGCTGCAGCCACATGAAAACACGGCGGATTAGCAGATTAGACTCCTATACATGAGGCGATGGCCACGGCCCCACCGAGCTGCAACCGTTTAGCCCCGGCCAAAAGGCCAAAAAACCATGTAGGGTCAGCCTCTTTGGGTTGCTTTAACCTCCTGAGACCCTGCGTCCTCATAAGAGGACATAGCATTTTTGCCTCTCTTTACCATGATACTTCTTTTTTCTTTCAACTTTGACCTCTTGGCCTCATAGCAGACGCTATCAGACACTCTAAAGTAAAATGGGTGCTATACATTTTCAACCAATAATGTTCTTATTGCGTAATTACAAAATTGTTAATAAGTAATTTGGACTGTCAGAACAAAATTCCAATAACATTTAATTAGATACATAAACTAGCATTTTAAATATAAAGATAAACCCACTGAGCCTATACGAAGCACAACTACCTGTACCATGACAAATTTTAGTTATTAAACTTAGTAGGTTGTACTAATCCCATATATCTTTAAAAAAGCAAAAATGCACACCAATTAAAATCTGGGGTCTCAGGAGGTTAAGTTGGTGTATTCTATTTTTTTTTGTTCTCCAGAAGGACAAAGACATTACCTCATTGGCTTTTCGGGCAGACAAGATATTTGGAAGAAGCTTGTGCAGCTGCTTCCTCCTCCTGTCAGATCCTATGTGCTGGTATGCATTCCTGACCGCTCCGCATCTTATGCTCCACTCACCTACCAGCGTGAGAGCCGGGGCCGCGCGATTTAGGAACGGCAATAATTGACGATACGGAGCGTTTAGCCAATGCTCTGAGATTCGACCCCTTCGAGCGCGGTCAAGTTTCGGGTCAAACAAGAACCCGGCTAACACGAGAGAGAACTCGTGTCTGCGCAATGGGAGGAAGACGGTCTGCATTCGGCAGGGAGCTCAATTAGATCGACCGCGGCGGCCTTTGACCGCTAATGTACCCTGACAGCGGTGAAGGAAAAACCCCAGTTGTGCTCAGAAGTGCTAGAAAAACACAACGTGTGTTACACAACAGACAGCTGTATTCACTTGCTACAGCGTTTAAAACGGTGTTTTGGTAGTCCTGGCCTGTTGTTTCAGCATCCGTGTCCATACAAACGAGGACATCCTTCCTTTTCAGGGCTATATCAGCCGGTGATGAGGGTTACAAC